AGAGAGAGTGGGCAATTTTAGCCAAAATGTTTATACCATAGAAAGAATTGACGAAAAATTGGGTCAAAAATATTATTATGTTGAAGGTAACAATAGGGCGTATTTGCGGTTTGAGTTGTTAAAAGTGTAGCTTTGGACGGTAGTTTTCAAGTTGTGGGGGTTTTCACAACTTGACCTGTGTTTCGTGGTGCAACTTGCGACTTGTATTTGGCGAGTGGTTTTGCAACTTAAGCTGCCCTACAACTAACAACTTTTAGTTGAATGATTGTACGATTGGCAAGTTTAGAACAGTGTGAAATGTTCCGCAACCTGGAAACATCGTGTTGTCTATGGCTTGTGACGTAGGTTTTGGAGGGTATCCGGTTTTTGCAATTTTCAGGTCGGGAAGCTTGCGGTGATTTGCAGAAAGAACCTTGTCAGACCTTTCGCGCTTAGATAGATGTTTCTGCGAAACAGCTCCATGGGTCTTGGGTGGGGAAAAATTGTATGTTGTGTATGAGGCTGTCCATGAAGAGCTCAAATATCGACATGTCCAGTGCAACAAGTTCGTAGGGCATTCAATGCGCGTAAGGTCACAAAGAGTCATGCATCACCTTTCCGCTAAACGCACTATCAACCCTAAACCCTAAACCCTAAACCCCAAGCGCTGTCCTAGTTCTGTTGGTGTGGTGTCCTGATTGTGCAATGGCAGACACGACATCAAAGAAGCGGAAGCTTCCCCCGGAGTGGTATCAGAACATTCTCCTGGGGATGCCAGGTGTGGAAATTCATGACAGTGCAAAACGTGCTTTGGCAAGTAAATTTTCCAAATTTCCTGCTCACCAACTGGGCGATTCCGCGCTCAAAGACGTGGTTAGCATTCTTCCAGACGCTATTACAGATGCTACGACACGAGAGATTGTGGCCATGCACGTGAAACACCACATTCGCCAAGAGCTGCAGCACGCGCCCGACCCTTGGTCAGTCAATGACATCCTGTTTTTGGCTCACGTCCCCAAGTGTTTCCCCGATAGGCTTAGTTGATTAGCTTACTTATTGGGTTTAGGGGTTGGCGCCTTGGTTGTAGCGTAGTGGTTTATTCCCCCCTAGGTTTGGTTTCCTCGTAGGGCTTCCCGATAAGGTTAGTTGATTGGGTTGCTTAGTCGGTGTTTAGGGTTTTTCATTTGTTGTGGGCGAGGCTGGTTCAGCGACGGCGTTGCCGACACCCTCTTCCGAACGCAAGTTCGATATTCCCAAGGTCGCGGATAAAGACTTCAAGGAAGGCAAGCTGTTGAACGTTTCAGACTTCGCCCCTTTGTGCCTTGGGCGAGTGTTCTCATTATATTGGTTTGGATGAGTTTTTTTAGTTTAGATTTTTCGGTTGTTCTGTTTAGGGTTGGTTGTCGTGCTGTTGTAAGGCTGGCGAAGAACACGGAGGCAGACAAGCCGATATTCCTTCGGAAGCACCTTCTGGAAGTGCATGATGTATCAGTGGCTACGTTGAAAGACAATGGGGACAAAAAGAAGTTGGTTTCACTTGTCGGTTGTCCTGGAACAGGCAAGACGTGGTGCGGGTGGCTGGTGGCGAGCACCCTCCAGTGCAAGCACAATGTGCAAACACTGCACCTGACCATCAGAGGCACTGATGTCATTGCCATTTGGGCATTAGATGGGCGTTACCGGAAGATCACCTACGAGAAGGTTGATGTTTGGACGTCCGTCATGTTGGGACAGGTCCTCAATGACAGCAAGTGCCAAGTCTGCATCATTGACGTTGGCAACCTCTTACCCCACAAAGTTAAGGAGGTTTTCATCGGAGTGCATAGCATTCTTGAGAAAGATTCCAACTTCATCAAGTTCATGGGCTTGGTCTCTGGGCATGGCGAAGAGGACATCACTGGCAAACAGTCCAACATCCTACGCATCACTCATACGCTGGTGTTTTGGAGCTGGTCTGAGCAGGAATTCCAAGACTACTGCAGTGCGACGCAGGGGACGTCACATGAACTGAAGGCGGACGTCTACAAAACCTGCGGCGGTTCCGTTCGCAACTGCTTCTGCCCGGAGGATGACATCAAGGAGATTGACAGAGCGGTGGGTAAATTGGACCAAGGCGAAAAGGAGACCTTCCTCATCGTTTACACTCGCTCCTCTACCGATGAGCACAGCAAGCAAAGGTCAAGTTTACTTGCATTCTTTCTCAAGGATCCACAGCACGACTTCACGTCTGGCATGGTCAATGTGAAGCAAGTCCCGAGGTCTGACTATGTCATTCAGTGCATCAGAGCCGAAGCCCAAGGCAGTCCGAAGCTTGTGAGGGAGATGTATGGCATACTGTCTCCTTACAATCCGGGTGCTGCGGGAACTGCTTTTGAGATGCTGGTTCACTTGTTTTGGAAGCATGTCGTTGACACCAAGCTCGACGTGGTCCTGACACTGGATTGGAGGCAGGGTGATAAGCCAACAGAGAGCGTCGAAGTCAAGGGTGGCGAGTTGCAAGGCTATAGCTCGCAAACAATCGAGGAATATGACAACGAAGCGAAGATTGCAGTTGATGGCTTGACAGGGTATTTTACCCCGAAAGACTTCAAGTATCCAGTGTTGGACAGCATCCTCCGATACAAGCATGGAGAAACGGTCGTGGTTCTCGCAATCCAGATCAGTATAGCCAAGACGCATCAGCATGGAAAGCCAGTTCAGAACACGTTGCTTCAAAAGAAAGCAGTGGGGAAACCCAAGCCGAAGTTGGCACTCTGGGATTTCAAAGCCTGGGACAGACAGTGCGCGTGGACACCGCCCACCTCGGACCATTGGGATTTGATGTATGTGGAATGCGAGGCGTTTACACGATGGCTTGAGCAAATCTCATGAGAAGCAGATGTTACAAAACAGCTGGTATCTTGCATGTTTCACCGCAGGATGCGCAGGACATCCACGAGCAAAAGGCAACACGGGTTGCAGTTGCTGACCGAGGTGCTGCTGAGCATGTGTTTCCACGCCTGCAATCACCCTTAACCCCAAACCCTGAACCAAATTCTACCAGGACCCCTTTGCTCCTTTTGAGTAATAATGCCACCTTACAGATAATAGATGGGGTAATGGTCATTCCTAGAATTGTGTTGATAATGG